TGTCGTCTCGTGGAATGCATCGCATCCACTCCTCAATCTTATCGCTAGGAGCACGGAAGAAATGTCTCTTCTCGTTCGATGACTTATATCCTGCCTTGCATCCTGGCACAAAGCACGTTGGCATTTTTATGGAGCTAAAAAAACAATTATTATAGGTCAAAATCACTGACTTCAGTATATACCTAGCAAGAACAACGATCTCCTGCTAACAGTGGCGCCGACTAGCGGCAAATATTGTCTCTAGCTAAGTTTGAACTATTAGTCGAAAGACCAGTTAATCTACCGACTCTGGCAAAAGTAAACGACACGATAATCTTCCCCTTCCAACAGGCATCTAATTGGTTCCTGCGCTATTATGATAATGTCAACCGGAATGTCACGTGATAGCTTTTTTATTACTAGAGATTTACACGGTTATAACGTACGCATTTAAAAAAATTATATTAAAGCGAAAAGTATAAAAATTTAACACAAATTTCAAATTTAAACTGATCGGAAACATTAGCTAAAAGATTTTTTTTTACGTAAAACATTTCTGCCACCAGGGGGTTTTTAGTTTAGAAATATGGCGCTCATTTTAAAAAAGTGTTATTTTAAAGATTTATTGAATAAGGATAAAAGAGAATGGAAACCAAATTTCACGAAATTCGATTGTATTTTATTGTTGTTTTCTATAGGGACGTATTTAGCCGACATCAGTACAGGTAAAATAACCATACGCAATCAAATAGTTTCCTATATTTTGACATTTGACGTTTCTCTTTTAAATGATTCGTGCTGACTTACTTTAATGTGTATTTAGATAATGAATAACGTAAAGAACCGAGAAGAAGGAACTTGTTACCTGTCTTTAGTACTTTATTGACAGGTATCTATATACCTGGCAAGGTGTTACTTTGGCTCAATTCAAGCTTTGAATGAGACAGTTGGGACCTTACCAGAGCTGTACATCATACCCATAGGAGCAAAAAAGTCAAAAGGAACCATACCTTTTCATGTCATCCTTTATGTGATATAGTCCCCCTAAAATTAGTCTATGTGAAATGTGTCTTTGCTGCCTATTCTCCGTGCAAAGTGTCCGTTGAGGCGAGTGACGGCAAACCTTGACCGATGCTTTGTGGGTAGCCGTGCACTGAAGTATCTGCGTGGTGGCTGGACCCACGTCCCCTAAAACTATATGACGTCGAGTACTCCGCCAACGGTCGAGTGGGCTACTCGAAGCCGACGTAGTCGCTTGGGCTAAATAGTTAAACCCAATAGTCTTGGCAGAATGACTCTCGATTGCGTGCGACCTGGATGTAGGTCGATTTTGGGGGCTGTTTCTTGCCGAGGGTCACGTGTAGAGGTATGGTTTCTTTGGATTTTTTGCTCCTGAAGGTATGGTCTATGGTTTTGATAATGCCTCAGTTGTCTCTTTCAGAGGAGTAATTGTACCAGATTATGTTGTTGTTTGTCTATTTTAGGGGACCACTATGGTGTCCCCCTAAAATATAACTTCCATGAAGCCAACTTATTGGACACCCTGTACTTGGGATAAATACATATATAAATATTCTTTTACAGATGAAGTGTGTTGAGTATGGAGGAATAAATTTCAGTTATTTTGATGGTGTGGACTTTCAGTTGGCTTGAGGTAGCCAGAAAGTTTAACAGGCCATATTCAGACTTCTCACCAATTACATACAATGGTCTGGAGGTAAGTAACATTTTAAACTCTTTGGCAACTGCACTGACTGTGGTTCCTTGTCATCAAAGTAACTTGAATTTGTACCTCTTTGTTTGGCATCTGTTAAAGAAGAAATCAACATCAACATAATTCCTATTCCATATTTCAAGCTATAACATGATGCTCCAATATAAGATAAGGAAGAAGTTACCTTTAAATTATTTATATACAGTAGAGTCCTGTACAACGTGGGGGATTTATTAGCATTATAGGAAATTATAGGTTATCTAAACCTTCATTATCACATGATTTATGAAAGTTTAAACCTTGGCATATAAGTTGCAAAAAAAACGTATACCTCTGATCGACTAAATTCGAGGGTATTGCTTGATTTGCGCATTGTATGGGACTCTACTGTATATATATATAAATGATTTAAACAGCATGTAAACAAATTTGTCCTGTATACACTTGACAAATTTACAAAGAAAATGTGCCAGAAATGAAATTAATGATATCAAATTGCTGTCATATAAAGACTATTCAAGACAAATTTCTAGTAATATTAGAAAATTCTCAAGTTTAAAATTATACATATATAAATTATATTTCAACTTAATGATTTTACAAAATAATAAGTAATAATGAGATATTGGTATTGCTTTTTAGAATATTGAGAAATGTTGGTTTATTAATTTTGATTAATTATAGTTCTTCTATCCAATTGGCAGTCACGTCTGGTTTTGAATCGTTTTGGAGTATTTGATTAGATTTACAATTATATCCACACTCTTATACTCTTTTGGAGCTGTTGATTCTAATTTCTAAAATGATTAGAAATCCTGTTTTCAATCATTTAAAATATATTTCACATTTACAGCTCCAAATCTTGTAATCTCTAATAAAAAATTCAAGAATTCTTAATGCTGTTGATTCACATGCATTTTCATAGTTAAAATTATGATCTAACAATGTTAAATTACTCTTATTTCTAAAGTATTCTTTTTCAAAATATTTGGTGGGGTTTACTTTACTTTAAATTTCATTTACATTCTCTTCTATCACGTTATGTCACATAACTTACATAAATTGTCAGCACAGGCCATAGATAATTTATTAAATTGCAATGTTTTTCGGAATGTCCATTCATTATCAAAAAGTTTATAAACAGATTTGAATGCACTAAAGAACAATGCCATTTAATATGATAATTTATAAAAAAATATTATCTTTTAGGTGAAATATAAGTTAAATTGATTTAAATACACTGTAAAAGTTGTATTTAGAGATTTAATTGATCACAAAAGAACCTACTCTATTGGAAAAATCATTAACAAATCACACATTCTCCAGTACTTGTAAACTGTCGAAGTTTATTCTTGGGGACCCAAATACAAATATACATTCAAATTCTGGAAAAGTTTGAATTTGTGAATATATTTGAAAACTAAATTTTCTTTCAGAATTGTATCTGTCTTTTTGAGGAAAGACTGACAGTCTTAAAAGACTAGAAAATTTGTGATTTGTTAGTGATTACTCTAATGAAATAAACTTTTTGTGTGATTTTTGTAAGAAGTTTGACTTGTTCTGAATTTATTGATTTAATTGCTGTTATTTTTGAGATTTAAATTAATACATTATTATTTTTTTTACTTACAGATATCATTCTTATTATTCAGTATTTCAAAAATCATTACACGATTTGGGGGATTTGTACCTTGATGTTGGTGATTGTGCCGTCGATAATTGTACAGATATTTAGTTTACGATGGTATATACTGGATGGCATAAGGAGCAAATTTTGTTGGATGGTTCATATTTTTAACTTAGGAATATTTGAAAGGCAAGTATCTAGAATTTATTAACATGTTTGTTTATTAGTATTATAATTCATTAAAAAACATATCAAAATTTCATAAAGATAATAGATATGATTTTAATACAGAAAATTTTGAGATTTGTAATAAAATATGCATACAATAATTAAAAAAAACACTAAAGAAAATAGGGTTTTCAGAATTCATTATTGTTTTACTCTATCAGATCAGATAATATAGTTTAATTTAGTCTACTGAGAGCTATGGCTGAATTAGCCTTTTATTGGAGGCTCTCATCTGCCTCAATATGCAAAAAACATGATAAATTTTCTCTGGTGACAGTACAATTGTAAAAATATATTATTAAAAAAGCCAGGATGACAATTACAACTAAAATTTATGTTTGCACCCACAGATCAGGAAATATAAGACAAACTGAAGACACTGTTTTTTAGTGTTTCTTCAGAACTTCTAAATTTTAATTATAATTCTCATTTTTGCTTTTAATGGAGGCTCTCATCTGCCTCAATATGCAAAAAACATGATAAATTTTTTCTGGTGACAGTACAATTGTAAAAATATATTATTAAAAAAGCCAGGATGACAATTACAACTAAAATTTATCTTTGCACCCACAGATCAGGAAATATAAGACAAACTGAAGACACTGTTTTTTAATGTTTCTTCAGAACTTCTAAATTTTAATTATAATTCTCATTTTTGCTTTTAATAATGTTTTTATAATCAATGGAGCTTACATATTATATTATACCATTATATTTGATGCTTTTTTGTTTATTTCTGGTTTTGGTTTGTTTTAATAATTTTTGGATAATTTTAAAATTTAAAAAAGTTTGAATGAAGTGATATTCTTTTTAATGTATTTGTTCTAAAGCACTACAAAAATTTCCCAGTGAAGATGTTTCTGATTAAATTTTAATCAGAATTTGTCTTGGTTCTGAATTTAGTGTTTTTTTCCTAATAATTTTGAATATGATGCCAAGTAGGAATGTTTTTTCTGTTAAAATAATGTTTTCACAATTTTATACACTATTTTAAACAACATAAGTCTATAGAACTGGATTATTTTTGGGCTATAACTATACAGTCTTATATTGTGCATATAATGCAGGCTTTGGATGCATTATATATATAGTACAGTATCTATGTATGTGTATATACACATATATATCATGGATGTTCATATGGTTGGCTGAGTGTCATGGTGGAATTATGACTGTAAAATTTCCTAGTTGACATAGTGATATTTATGGTTATTTATTAATTCTAAATTGCTTGTAAAGGGAGAATGAATGGATGTCCAGATAGTGTAAATAACATATAAATGACAACATGTCTGCATAGTTCTGCAGGAATTGCAGATTTGAGCCATACTCTGATCAATATTTTCTTTCAGAATATTCTAAATCTATTTATTTTAATTTAATTTAATTACAGAATATCAGCCTGTTTACCCTTTAGGCCAATTTACTAGTTTAATTAGTCTTTGCATAGCTCAAAAATAATCTATGTTTTGTATGAAATTTGGATTTTGGTTTCATTACAAGTAACAATTTAAACATTTTTCAATTTTCATTTTCGAATACAGGTATGTGAAGTTACTAAGATGTGGATTAAAAGCTCAAAAAACTCAAAATCTAGGAGATTTTCAACATTTTTATGAAGCTCAGAGTGACGTTTGTATGCTACGATTATTCGAGTCATTCATGGAATCAGCTCCTCAGTTAGTTTTACAATTGTATATAATGTTCAGTACAGAAAAATGGAATATGTGGACAGGTAATTAAAATAATTAGAATTAAACTATACATGACACCAAACATATGCGATTACAAGTGGAATTGATATAGTATATCTAGTAGAGAAAGAAAAACATGTTTAGAAGTAGAAAAGGAAGCTTAAGATAATCAGTGAATGAGCCTATTTGTTAATGGCTAGGACAAATAATAAACAAGGAAACAATAATAGGAAATAGAACTTTCACAAAACTTTTCTGTAAATAAAAAGTTTTATTCTGTTTTTATTTGATTAAGCAGTCTTTCGCTTTCATTAAAACAACACAAGTGTATTAATCCAAAAATCTTATTAAACTTTNTTAAATTATTATTTTTATTATTACTATTTATTTATTTTTTTCCAGTTATTTCAGCTGGAATATCATTGATTTCATTAAGTTGGGGTATATCTGCATACAGCAAATCTATGCGAATTGTTCGTTTAGATAAACAGAAATTATCATTATGTGGAATGTTCTTGCAGATTATCTGGAGAAGTGGTACTGTATCTTGCAGAATTATATCAATGGTTCTTTTTGCTTCTGTATTTGGATCATGGCTACTCTTAATTATGAGTAAGAATAATTTATAAATATGTAAAATGGAAGCAGCAATTAAGTGAGTTTAATTCACTAATTTATGTTTTTGAATAGGTTTACATTGGCTCATAATGACAGTTTGGGTTATATACCAAAACACAGATTTTTGTACAACCTGGTGGGAAGAAAGACTTTATAATTGTATTGTAGGAGAAATATATTGTTTCTGCTTTTTCAATCTTAAAGAAGGTCATTCGCGTTATAGATCAACAATATTTTACAGCATTACTTTTATAGAAAATGTTGCATTTTTATTAAGTTATTATTTGATAAAGAATAATGGATTTCAAGATGATTTAATTGTTGGATTTGTGATTTTTGCATTTATAATAGGTAAGAATACTTTATACTATTTATCGTGTCCAAAAAGTTACTGTGCAGTGAGAAATTTGCATAATCTCCTCTGAAATCTGGACCTCATTCCCTGGATTTTTATCGTGTACATAAAACTTCACTTTTATTAAAATTTAAATCTTTACCACTGCACAATAACTTTTTGTACATCCTGTAAATTTAATTATAGCAATATTTTGTTTTTTTTAAAGACTTATAATTTACATTTTACATTAATCTATGACATAAAAACAGATTTTAATTAAAGTAGAAAAATAAAAAAGTAAAAACAAAGTTTAGAATCTGATTCTGCAAGAAAACGTAGTGTAAGAACTACTATTAATTCAACAAGAAACAGGTTTGAGCCAAAATCAAGCAAAGTAAATTCTTTAACAATGCATAACTAATAATTTTAGACATAAAATACTTTATATTTTACATTTTGTTAGTGAAGAAGTTTAGAAAAGATCAGATAAATCTTATTACAGTTTTATATTGTCTGATATATATGGTCTGATAAAAAAAATTATAGCAACTTATAGACTGCTGTGTATTTGAGCAACAGATTTAAAAATTTCAAGGAAGAGAAAATCAATCTACTCCTAATGCTGAGTCAAATTTTAAGGTTGTTCTATTAGGTGTTAGCTTATTATAGCATACTAAAAGAGTCTGTGATTGTACAAAATGACTGATTTCAAGGTGTAACATACATGCATTAAATTTTGTTTTAATTTATGAAAAACAAGTCAGAAACAATGACAAAAAGGAAGAAATTGCCATCTTGGTGAGGCAAAATCAGAGGATAATAATACAAAAAATGAAAGAAATGACTAACATTTTTTATGTTCAAGTCATTCTTGATGGTCAGGAGAATTATTGTAAAATTTGTTATTTAATTATTAAGTTATGAAGAGAGACATCAATACTTGGATATTGTCCAGGATCTGCTTGAATAAGACAGTAATTTTCTGAAATTGTAATGGATTTCAGAAAATTATTGTCACCAAATCAGTTTTTGTCACCTATAATAATTTGAAAGTGACAAAAGCTGGATCAAAACTAAATGGTAATCCAATAAATGGAGAAAATCAAATGAACTTCATCCAAAAAAAAGCATGCACAAGTCATTCAGATGTGAAAGTTATGCTTACTATTTTCAATTACTGTAGATTAGTATATAATAAATGTGTCAAATGGGAACAAATATCAATGCTGAGTTCTGTGTGTTTTGCAGTATCTAAGAGAGCAAGTTTGAAAAAAAGGATCTGATATGTTGAAGAGAAAAACTTGGCATTTACAACATGACAATATAAGAACACATACAACCATGCTAGTACAGAAAATTTTGGCACAAAATTCTGTACACTTGTTCCTCGACCATCTTATTTCTTGGATTTGTCACTGGCAGACTTTCTTTTTCCATGACTCGTGAACATTAAAAAGGAAATATTTTGAGACTAGAGGCAATTGTAATGAAATTGTAAGACTTACTAGGTTTGTTTCTTAATTAGCAAATAAGAAGTGTCTTAGAATTGGAAAAAGTATTTCCAGAAGTGTGTTACAGTAGGAGAGTTGTTATGAGGATAATAATGTTTAAATTGGCTAAAGAATATTATTAAATTTTTTATTTTATACAGTCACAGTATTCTTTTTTAATCAAACCTTATAAAATCTTTATTCATATAAAATTTAATGTATTAAATTTTATATGATGAATATATATATATCATACAGTATCAATACTTTGGGCTTTGGGATGTTGATATATATATCAACATCCCAAAGCCCAAAGTATTGATACTAGTCCAAACTCTCACAGTAATTAACTGGGCTATAATTATTGATCGTAGCATAATAATACAGTAGAGCATTGATTATCCAAGACAATTTGGGACTGGGGTTGTTCGGATAACTGATTATTTATGAAAAAAAATATTAAACACAAAACTATACTGTCTACATTTTGTATCATACATCTTACAAATAAATACCTTACATAAAGTAGTACATTAAAGTAGGCCTACAGTTTAAGTTGGCAGGGAAGGGGAGAGTGCTGCAGCACCACAACACTAGCAGAAATTTGAATTTGCCAATTGGAACACTTTTGGTTAACCAATGTTTCGGTTGATAGGTATTTGGATAATTGATGCCTTACTGTAGCTCAATTAATTACGGCAAAAATTTGGATTAGTATTTATATGATAAAATGAAAGAATTACTTGAAAATATTGATTCACTAGATAAATATTAGGAAAACTTAAAGACATATTAGAGATTTCAGTTTGTGCAAGTAGCAATGAAGCTTTTTAAATTTTCACTTTTAAAAGTGAATGTAAAATGCATTTCATATTTTTGTCGTCTTATAAATTAAAGGAATTATCATAGATTGCTATTCTTGTAAAATCTTGTTATATTTTATGAATTACTTTATCTTTAGTTGTTCTAATTAAGGAATATATGAACTTTGTATAAACAGAAATTAAATCAAACAAACTCTTCTTGTTGATGAATTTAATTTATTCATTTTATAAACACCTCCACAAACCCAATTTTTTATTTAAAGCCAGACAATCTGATGAATTATTGGGATATAATAAGACTAAGTTAATATTTAGATACAAAATAATTGATTTGGGTAAGGTGGTTAAGCTGCCATCTTGTGATAATTTTAATTAATTTAATTATTTTATTTCTTTCTTCTGTTTATTTTTTACAGTATAAGATAAAAATTAAATCAAGAAATTACACAAATAAAATTTTGAAACTGAATATTATCTGATTGTATTAAATTTTTGATTTTAGAAAATATATTAAACAATAATATCATATTTTGCATTTTCAACATACCAAAGATTTGTATATATTATTCTTAATACATTCTATTTTTAAATGTAATCATAAATAATTTTTATTCATAACCATGTACAGTAGGACTCTTCCAAGACTCCTCATATAAATGGAAATTTGTGTAAAATGGAGAACTATTAAGTATTTTCTATACTAAAGTAACCAGATGTCCAGATTAATCAGGACAGTCCTGGTTTTTGACTCTTTGTCTTGACTTGGAAAAATGTTCCAGTTTTGACCTGGTTTTGAATAAAATCTCCTGAATTATCCCATTTTTATTTATAAGTAAATAGTTTATATTAAAAAATCAAAAAGATTTAATTTTTAAAAAGTTGCTTCAAAGAATTCTCCTTTAACATTTACNGGCCAGATTAGCAAAAGCTTGTGGTATCCAGTCAACATACATGTATTGTGTACATGGGCAGATCTACATAGGGACTAATAGGGCTTAAGCCCTGGTCCTCAGTGTCAAGGGCCCACAAAAATTGAATTATTATCATAAATTTTTAATACTTTTTCATTATAATACATTTCATGTGTAGATATCAATATAATGGGCTTTATAACAGTCCTATTATAAAGCCCAGCATACTTTTTATTCACACCAAATAACACTTCTGCCTATTGTTTAGTACCTATTGTTTAGTGCTAGAGATAGGCCTATTATTCTTATTATAAATTTCAGCATGCCCAAAAATTTTGGTCAGGATTCGCCCCCGATTATAAAAAAATACTCTATTATCCTAATAAAAATACAAAAGATGATCTATTCATTTATATATTGTAGAAATAAAAAAGTTTTTATTATAATATAATAAATATTTACTGTAAATGATAAATATACTTTATATTTGTTAGTTGCCACAGAACGTTATGCTGAAACATGGGATTTCTATCTTCAATCTTCTGCATTTTTGCAATTTGACATAAGTATGGGATGTAGCCATCTTACAGATCTCTATTCAGTACAGTTAGAGTATTCTATTGATAGAGGGCGTTCTTGGAGTCCTGTTAATCAGGAATGCATTCCACCAGAAGTTGGATGTCGTGGTTATCAACTTGGTTCAACTTTGTTATCTGAGAAGCATGTTAACTGGACAAGAGTTACAATTTATCTACCTGACCGGGCAATGTAATTTTCAGAATTTTATATATTTATAATTTAAATATTAATAATAAATAGTATATGTTTAGTAACAAACTTCTTTTATATTTAATACTAAATGTGTATTTTTTTCGGTGGTAATTCTAACTAGGTACTGATATAAAGTGACTAGAACGTCCTGGATTAACTGGGATGTCAGGTCTTTGACTTTTTGTCCCAGCTTCCTGGTTTTGGATAAAATATCTTGGATTATCCTGTTTTTATTTATAAGTAAATAGTTTATATTAAAAAATCGAAAAGATTTAATTTTTAAAAAGTTGCTTCAAAGAATTCTCCTTTAACATTTACTATAGGCCTATATAGAATAGTCCATTCTAGTAAATTACCACAATATTACTTATGTAGAGATGCAGCTAAGCATAGTGCTTTACCTAAATCTTACACTAAGCACTAACTGTTTTGTGGGAAAATCTTTACTCATCTCTTTGAATTGCAGTATGAACTCCAGATTTACTGGATGAGATATTTAGTTTGCATGGTTACATTCATGATAGAAAATGATTGTGCAAGCTGACATATCTTGCTGACATTTGTTTGTTGCAAGGCAACAGAACATGAATATTTCAGGTATATGACAAGAGAAAGGCATATTTGTGGAGTATATTCTTGGGAAAAGAGCACTGGATTCTTTTCCAGCTTTGCATTTTTTTTTTTTTTTTGTAAATTCAAGAGGGAATTATGATGACAACATTTTGAGAATTGTTGAGAAGCACATTCAAGCATTGTGATGATACTTTACAAATATTTCCCAGAAAGTATGATGAACAATAAGTGGATAAGAAAGCTCTTTGTTGTGACTGTGGAGTCATTTCCTGTGGATCTCAGAGATCCAACTGCAACTTTCTGCAGTTGGATCTCTGAAAAGTCTTTTTGAACAAATGACAACAATCTCTTTTTTTTGGTTCAGAAGTTATTTCTGATATCCCAAACTCTGACAAAACTATTAAGTTTCTGCTCTCTTTCCCATGTCCTATTTGATTGAGTTGGCATTTTCAGCATTGATGAACAAAAATCAAAGAAACAAAATCAAATTATTGATGTGAATGCTCATTTGCACTTTCAATTCACTGACTTGAAACCAGACATTGCTACTTTGGTGTCCGACAAAAAGCCCCATCATCTTTCACATTGAACTGAGATATGAACAGCTTATGTAGCATATTTTTTAAATATTTTTTCATTATATTTTGCATTCATTGCTTGCATATATTGTAAATGGATTAAATTTACAAATATTAAACATAAATTCCAATGCATGATTTCTTACATGGCATTATCATTGTGAGTTACTTCAAATGATGTACTAGGTTTGAGAGCAAGGTTAAGCTGAAAATAGTGTTGGCTAATGTATTTTTATCAGTCTCTCACATTGATGCTATAAGTTATATTAATAACACGTTTTATAATATTCTATAAGAGAAATTTTGAAGGAATTGGATTGTTAAAAAAATTGTTTTTTTAATGTTTAAGTGTGTCCATTTAATACAGAATTATTTATATTTTAGAATTTAAAAAACAAATTTTTACAATACTTTCATATATGTGAATGTTATCCAGGTGTTCTTAGTATGCTGTTATATTATCGTTTCTTTCATCCTTCCGGTCCAATTACTTTCAACAGTACAGAGTCTGAAAATGGTGAAATTATTTCAGCAAAAGTAAGTAGGAGTAATTAAGAGGCTTTAAGATTTAAATATATAATGAATGTATTTTGTAAGTTATTTTTAAATTATTTAGGAAATATCAATAGGAATGGCGAATTCTCTAGAAAATGTCGATGATTGCTTTTCTGAGAAAAGTATATCAGAAACAAAGAATCGCTTGTCATCTCCGATCCTATGTAAAAATGTAACTCTCAGAGAAGACAAAATTTTATCTTATTCTCATAAATTTCAAAAAGATATAAGTTCCATTTCAAATATATACAACTGTTATCAAGAAAATCATCAGTCTCACTCACAGAACTGTAGTGTATTAACAATACAGCAAGATCCTTCCCTAGAAGATTCATTAGTTATGAATATGCACCTGAAAAAGCAATTAGCCAGTCATCATAAGTTGGTCAATTATAATTTTCGAACACAAGCATCTTTCAGAAATCTGTACGATTCTCAAATTCACTGTTCCTGTCTAGTGTTGATGGATAATGATCCTTCATCCAACGAATTAAAGGCGAGACCATTTCATGCAGGGAGGGATTTCTGTTATTCTCTACCCAATTTAAATTTAAGTTTGGATTATTCAAATGAGGAATCCTACTTTGTTTCTCCGTCCGATGCTTATTCGAATCGCACTTGGTCTCTCTGCAATCTTTACCAAAGCGAGTTGGCAAATTGTTCCATTGATGAATTAAATGATTCTGTATTAATAAAGAACGAGACAAGTAACAAGAATTCAACTAATAAAGAAAAATGTAAATGTAATTTTCTCCTTCCCACCAGTGTCAGCTGTAGGTGTGCTCGAAAGTTTAAAAAATGTATTGAAGATGAGATTTTGAAATCGGAATACAAAAGTTACAAAGATATAAATAATACATTAAATAACATTAATGAATCAACGCCATTAAAAGGTAACAATTGTAATATTTTTAATTCTGAACAAAATAATAATAATAATAATAATAGAAAATCAAAGATTACTGTGGAGCAAGAAGCCGAAAATAAATTTAATTTAAAAATAACAGATAATCCTGTTCAGAACTTTCATTCCTCAGAGATATTTCAAAAAGCCGAATCTAATTCTTCAATTCCCACGTTGTCAAAAGTGTGCATTGTTTGGAACAATGCTAATTTACAATAAAAACACCACAAATTCCCTAAGAGTAGCTTTAAGTCTTCCAAATCACAAATCATTTAACTGAATGGCTGTAATTATGTGAAAAATATATGTTAATTACATATAAAAGAGAAAAAGAATTAAGATTGTGATAAATTTTGAGATATTTGAAGTTTGGTCAGTTACAAATTAATAATGTTCCAACACACAAAAGTTGGCAAGAGATTGTCCGAGTAAGTTTTGGAAAAATTGAATTTTAAGTAAAATGAATTGGTATAAATCAATGTAGTAAATTTGATTGGTTAGATGGCTGTGTGTCGATAGGTTTTCTACTGAATTTAAATCCGGTCTGAGTTATTTGGTTTTTGTGGGTAGTTTGAATCGGATTTTGCCTTCTGTTCCTCCGATTAACTCGCAAAGCCAAATCTGTCCACATTAAGAAAAATTATAGTCTGTACACTATTTAGTTGGATTCAATTTTTGTGATACGTCAAGATTATTTTGGATGATTCTATAACTTTACTAGGGTTTTATTTATCTGTATTTGTGTAAATAATTTTTATATATTGTACTTTTTAAATTAAAGTTATTGATGTTATAATGTTTTTATAATTGTAGATTTTTATATTGGTGTAATTTTTGAAGGACAGAATTCTTCATATACAGTAGAACCCCTCTAATCCGTCACCTTTGGGGCTGGGGTATGGTCGGAACGCAAAAAAGGTCGGATTATCAGAAAAAGTAAAATAAACAATCTTCCCCTTTGTCCAGTCTTTGTAGCACTGCTAATTTTTCATTTAATGAAAGAGTAACGTGTTTAACTTTCACTCCTGACATGTTGAAAACACACACAAAACTGTACATGTACACACAATGTAAAACATATACTGTAACGAACACAGAAAAACGCCACGGACGGTGAGTCATCGACGAGTCGCGACAAGTTTCTCGACTCCGACCACGGTCGGATTAACCGGAGTGACGGACTAGCCGAGGGCGGACTAGAGGGGTTATACTGTAATTTACATTTTATTCTTTTATGTATTTTTATGTTGCTAAATCCATTTTAAAGTCTTGAAAGGCATTCTGCTTCAAAAATGTGTCCCTAATCTGTATGTGTCTAATCCAATTTTATTTCTTCACAAAACTCTAAATTAAATTTTCAACAAATATCCCAATTTTGTTTAAAAATTAGGATTTTTCTAATTGTAAAACTGTAATCATTAATTAAATGCATAGATTTGGCCAATATAAAGAGAGTGAGGAGACAGATGATTACATTGGAAGTTGATTTTTAAACTGACAATTTTATATCTAGGATTAAAAGAACATCAAAAATAATTGATAAAATACAGCACTGTGCTATATTTTATCAATTAATAACAGACTTTGTTGTCGCAATAATGTAAGAAACACAAACAGGGAACAAAACAGGAAGTGAAATATGATTTTTAGAAAAATTATGCCTCATTTCCTGCTTTATTCTTTTAACTGTAGATATCGAGTCAGATGTCAACTATTATTATCCCTATCTCTTCATGATTTCCAATTTTATGCTCTTTTAAAGTTAACAATATGCATATTTTTAATCTCCTTAGATGTTCTTTCTCTTCTTGATTTCTCCTCTTTTATGTCAGTTTAACATTGTTTTCTTTTTTAACTTATTAACTGGCCATATAACCTAATGTGTTGATGCCCACATCACAAAATCTATTTTGTAGTCATGTAGGCACCATAGATGCAAACTTACCTCTGAGTTAATATCTCTTGGAATATCCCTGTAAACAAATTATTGTCTTACTGGAGGATTGTAATTAATCTGTTGGCTGTTTTTAAGTCCATTGTCTAATCTCTCCTCCTTACAACATATTGTATTTAGCTTTGTTAGTTTTCTCACTCATTTTTTGTCTGCCTATTGATGATTTTTTTTAAAAAACTTTGATACAAATACAAAGTAATTACAGTGGTGCCTCGTATAATGTACTTAATCCGTTCCAGGTGCAAGTCTGTTAAGTGAAAAGTCCGTTATACGAAACGCATTTTTCCATAGAAATACATGTTAAAACTTATAATTCGTTCTGCAGCATAAAATAACCATACTGTACCATAACAAAAATAAAAATGGAGCATTCACCAATTATGCCAAGTAGTCAGATGTTATGAAGAGGAGGTAGAGGAACACTTTTTACACATTGCAGCGGGTCTCTTTTTATTGTTTTTTAATTGGAGTCAGATTCAGGAGAGTCTACCGGAGCTTGCAGGATCAACTCCTCTTGCTCCATCCTTTGTTTTTTGGCAGCTGGCTTCTTGAAAAACATGTCCAAGGTGGTCTGTTTTTTCTCTTCTTCAACACCTGTCAGAAATGACGGGCAAGGGTGTCATTGTAGAGATCATTGATCCTGTTGGCCTCAGCTGTGTTTGGATAATGAGTGTTGTCCCCATTTGACAAGGAAGTTTTTGTCAACTTTCACTCATTCTGATGATTTCTTGCTTTGTTTCAATTGAAATCATCTTTCTGTTTTTTAGGATCCATGATTTGCACAACACTTGAATAAATGTAAATACCCTGCACTGAGGTGATGTACCATATGTAATAAATAAGGGAGCAAACTGAATCCCAACGGAAGCTCTGTACTTCAGATATACTAATAATATATTCTAATAATACTAATATATTATAAAAATAGCAGACATTGTCATTGGCAACGGCAAAAGAGTGGAAACATCATTCGCACTTGTTCGCAGAAAGTCCATTGTTCGCCTCATGTAACTGCCGAATGGAAAGTCTGTTGTTTGCAGCCAGTCTGTTGCCAGAGTTACGTAACGGCCAAACAGAAAGTCCATTGTTCGCAGCATCCATTATTTGAGGCGTACATTATATGAGGCACTACTGTATATGGTGCATAATTATGACAGTGTAATTTTTTGAATTATTTAGAGTAAATGGACAAAATTTTACATAATTATTTAATGTTATTTTCTAATGACATAAACCAAATATCATTCTAATCAATTAATCCAAACATAAATTATCAAAAACAGTCATTTCAGTATATTTATATAGATCAACAATTAATTTTCCACTGTGCTTGGTTCCAAAACCTTGCAGGACCAGCCAAGGTGAAGTAATAATAACCAATTGTACTGTACATCCAGAAGACTAATTGTATGTTTCTAAAGCATCATGGGCTGCTAGAAATTTAAATTAAGCATACACTGAGTGCTTAATTTATTATGACCATCTACTCAGTACATTGTTGGGCCACCTTTTGCTTGCAATACTACTGAAATTCTCTTTGGCAGAGACTCTACAAGATGTTGGTAAATGGCTGGAGGATTCTGACACCATATATGATAAATTACATTTTCCAATTTATTAAGAATGGATTGTTCTAGATCCAGCTGTCTGGTGCCTCTTTCAACCTCATCCCACAAATGCTCAATTGGATTGAGATCCAGTGATTGTGGAGGCAGCTAAGCAAGGTGAAGTCTTTGTCATGCTCTTTGGACAATTTGAACTTATGGCCTGCAGCATTCTCCTACTGGAAATATCAATCTCCAGTGGATAGGCTATTAGCATAACTAGATGTGTGCTAGTGACAATATTTAAGTACTTTTTGGCATTCAGAAATTATTCCATACAAAGCAAAGGGCCCAAACAATGCCAGGAAAACATCCCCCAAACCATAACATTGCCTCCACCAGCTTGAAGTGTTGTGGTAATGCACGTAGAGTCTATGCTTTCATGCTGTTTTCTCTATATTTGCACCTGCCATCTGTGTGGTGCAATTGAAAATGTGATTCATTGGACCACATTACCCTTTTCCAGTCATTTATTGTCCAACCTTTGTGATCATGTGTGAATTGGAGTTGTCTGATCTTGTTAGCAGCAGACAGTAAAGTCTTTCGAACAGGCTATTGTCTTCCAAACTCAAGACAATGTATTTTACTACAGTTTGTTCAAAGACCATTAGAGATGTTCTCCAACTGAGATCAGCTATAATCTGACACACTGTTTCTTTTCCGTTGGACTGGACTATTCTGGCAACTCTCCTTTCAGTTCAAGCATCTAGTAGCCAAGGATAACCATATGTCTTATGTTGAGACCCACTTTTTTCTTTGGTAGTCCACTGTTTGTACACATGAACAACAACCACTCTCAAACACTTCAAAAACAAAGCAGTGTTGCTGATACTCGCTCCACTGCTTTTAGCACCCACAATCATTCTATGTTTAAAGTCTGTTAAATCATGTCTTTTACCCATACTTTCACATGCAATTTCCTACAACTCTCTGTACAATCATCCAGCAATTCCTTTTTTATACCAGTCTCACCCTCTGGAGACAATAGATTATCATCATAGCTGATTTACATAAACTTTGCAGGTGGCCATAATAAATTGGCCACTCAGTGTTTATTAAACCATTGGATATTTGTTTGATGTATGAAATACTATTCCTGATATAAAAGGATTATAGTGTTAAAACTAATAAGAATACAGCTATAAATAAGGATATAGTGCCTTTAATTGCTTTTAAATCATTAAATTTAAAAGCAGTTAATGATTTAAAAACAATATTTGTGCAGTTATTTATGAAGTGAAATATAGTAAATACTTTTACTCAGAGCCGTAACTAGGCAGGTGCAACAGGTGCACCCGCACAGGGCCCACTTGGAAGGGGGCCCAAATTGCTGTTCACAAGAAATTATATTTTTAAATTTAAAATTTTTCCGCCTTTCTACAGCTCGGTTTGGCGATTACATTTCGCCTTACTTAGACCCTAGATGTCTGCTCACCAGTGTTACCAACTGTAGCGACTTTTAGAGGGCCGTAGTGAGGTAGCGGAGACCTCAGACAAATCAACCAAAAGTAGCGACTTTTGATATTTTTTAGTTTATTTTTTGAGAAATTTAAATTTATGTTTATAGTTTTCAAATTTACAGTTTTTTCTCTATTTTATAGAGTTTTCTGGCAACTACTAATATTATTACGATATACAAAACTGTATTTCTAGATTTTTCTACAGTGTGCATAGCTAGAAATCTGTAAAGGTAATATTTTGTAACAAAAATAAATCTGTCAGAGGATTTTTTTAAAATTATTAAATTGAAACCGGTAACTCCCGAATAAAATCTTAGTCTCGAGGTTGTAAAAGGCATGCTGAAAATCTGACATCACTTTTTGCTTTATAGTGGTACGCATATGGTTTGCATACTGAACGGCGGATTAAGCGGTAAGCGAACTATGCGGGCGCATAGGGCTCCGAAGGGGCTCCTGCAGTATTTAAAATGCTACTGATAAAAAGGGATTGCGAAAACGCAGAAGATAGAAATAGTCCAGAAAAACGCTTCGACATATATAGATACATGAAAGTAATAAATGATATAACTTTATGGCCAACAATATTAACAGATGCTATTATTGATCATATTCTTAAAACAAACCAAAAAGTATAGAAAAGGGATTTCTTAATAAATTAAAAAAAGGGGTAAGATAATGGAAATAGATAAAACGCCAGATGAAGGAAGTAACTTGACACTCGAAAAATTATTTAAAATACAAATTTACAGTGTTCTTGACACTATTGGATCAAATAGATTGGCGTTATGAAAAAATGAAAACTATCTGTGACGATTTTTGCTTTCTCTGTGGCTCGTCTTTACAATACACGAGTGTTGCTGATTAAAAAAATCGGCTGCAGATCTCGCTATTAAATATAGCAAAGATTTAAAAAAGTAACTTCACAAGTGAAATTAAAAGTTTTAATTTTGAAGTAACGACTCTTATACAAAATATAGAAACTGCATCTCCGCTTAATATTCTACAGACTCTTTATGATTTTGGTTTAATTTTTATCCAAATATCAATATCGCTCTTCGAATATTTCAAACTCTTCCCGTTTCTATTGCTTCATGCGAGAGAAGTTTTAGCAAGTTAAACTTAATAAAAATTATTTAAGATCAACTATCGGACAAGAACGATTATCCAATATTTCTATTATTTCAATAGAATACATTATCATTAAAAATATTAATTATGATCATGTAATTAATGAATTTTCTGAAATGAAAGCCAGAAAAATTCAATTAAAATAAATCTTATTAAAAATCTATTGTAATGTATTTGTTTTATTATTTTCCGAAACCAAATAAATTAAGGGGCCTAAATGCAAATTCTTGCACAGGGCACGGGAATGGCTAGTTACGGCTCTGCTTTTACTATATTACACTTTAAATTTATATAATTTTATGTTTTTATAATAAATGTAAATAAAATTCTTTAGCATATTCTTCCGAGATTTTTCCATAGTCATAATTGACCATAAATAGGTTGATTGGCATATCTTGTAAACAAATTACATATATAGTTTGTCTGTTCCATCAGTGAAAGGTTGATGTCCATATCTGTCAGTCTGTTTTGCAGACATATAACACATACATATGCATATATATAAATCATTAGGAGAGAGGAAGAAAGGTAAAGAAAGAACTAGAAGACCATAACAGGCTTCTACCAAACACTCATGCATTGAATTTATCATCAAATACACCTTTATATTTTTGTATTGTACACACCATATTTAAATATCTTAGAAGCGAATGCTATTTTAATGTGAATAATTGTATTATTTGAGAATATTTTGTATGTAATGTATTAGCAAATTAATATTACTTTAATATTCTATTGTTTATTATTATTGTGTTTATACATTCTGTTGTATTATTGTGGTAGGCATTGTTTATGTTTATTGACATATTGTGATAAATCATTGTATAAATGATTATTTGAATTTGTATAATTATAATGTATTGTTTTTAAAACTCGTTTGTTACACTTTTTTGTTATAAATATATTGGAAATAATTGAACCGTCCAATTAAAGATACGATTCTGTAAAATCTTAGTGTCTGTGATGTTTGAAGATTATGATATTGGCCAAATAGTCACATGCCAAGACACCAGACAGAATTTGAACCCAGACTCCCCACTCTTATGCCACCGAGAGAGGAATCTGTGTTCGAATCCCATTCGGATGCTTTTAAATTTCTATTGTTGTCTGTAGTCTGTACCCTTCCATTTGTACACGCACAATCCAAAGATGAGTAAACTACTCCCAAACACAAGTGCACTGCAGATTTGGACCTTCTTGATAGAAACGTTGCCAACGTGGAAGCATCAAAGAGTTACGTGCGTAAGACCCATACTAATCGAGTCGGATCTTTATTTTTAACTATTCCAAAAGGCTCATTTGGCACACACTCGCCAGGCCGGGAAAATCAAAGCACATTTACCAGAGAACTATACATTCTAGGGTCAAAATTCGATTCGAATCTCAATAATCATGTGCCACGTGAGTTATGTTTCTCATTTTTTTGGCCAAGCCGACCCACTCAATTGCAGGTCGGTCATTCAGCCTTAAGGCAGCCTACCGGTATCACGTGTTGACAGAGTTGATCCGAAGAACAGTGGGTCATATAGTTCTTGCATTTCTTTTACATTCTGCCCTTTGAACACTAAAAGGGCCTCTTTTTACATGCCCATTATCCTGGAACGAAAAAGAGGGGTAGTTCATCGAGCGGCACTCGAAGCAAGACCAGCATTGTAATCAAGATTAAAAGCAGTAACTACAGGAAATACCAAATTTCATGCCAAGTCACGTCAAAAATGTCCTCTAAAATAATCACGATTGGCATCATCAGGAAGTGGACGACGTGAACTCACGTGTAAAGACGTCAGCGGATACGTGCGCACTACGCGATGTCGTGGCGCGCAAGGCAAAATCGGCAAAGCATCGGGATATTTTCGTCGAGCGACGCGATCGATAGCTATCGAATGCGACAATGACGTCAAGACGCAACCGACGATTTTCGAATTCGATTGGACGAGAGCGCAAAATACGTTCTCACTACGCCATTTTCGCATTCGGCATGATTTTATCGATGTACAATGATTTTTTTACAGGATTTTTTGATAAATTATCGACGTCTGTAAAAAAAAAAAGAAAAAAAAAAGAACACGAAACACTTAAAATAAACAACTGTTCTTTGGCGTGGGTTGTAAAACGTGCATCGGTAACACTACGTGAGCCCCGGTCATACGTCATCGAGTGACAAATCCTTCTCCTTTCATCTTTCCGCTGCGCGTCAAACCGGTTACGTGACGTCGATCCGATCGCAATAATGTTTACTCACGAAGTTACGTCACAACACCTTTCACACCGGCCGACACAAAGGTTAGATAAAACTTCGCCGCTATTGGTTAATCGGTGTTTGTATTGCAATGGCCAGGTTTCTAGGAGGAGAGAAGAGGAAAGTCACGAACAGGAAATTCATTTTTCGGCGATGACGCAACAATACAGTCACGATATTCGTGTCACGTGCGTGAAAATTGACGTTTTCATTTGAGTTGTGTTTTCGGAGGGAAAATGCGCAGATTTTTGTAAAAATTTTGCGATTTTTAAAAATGTTCGTAAAAAAAGCAATTTTTGGAGCTAATAAAATTTAAAAAAGGACATTTTTCTTTAAAAAATTATTTTAAAAAATGCAATTTTATGGTTAAATCTTCCAAAAAAAATGCATTTTCTAGTGGATTTTACGGAAATTTATTTGAAGTTTTTAAAAAATTTGCTTTCTAAACCCAGAAAATACTTTTTTAAAGCATTAAATCACTCATTTATACCTCCTTTGAGTGTATTTTTTGGAAGATTCGCGTGCTTCTGGCGAGTCTCTGCACTTCTAAATAACACGTGAAAAATTCGGTTAAAATACATAAATATAAGCTACCAGTACGATCTTATAAGTAAATATAGATAAATATACCAGTATTTTTTTACAAGAAGCCTTCTAAAAACACCATTAAACCTCTAAAGAGGCCTCTTTTTTGACAACAACCCACCAAGTTGTATAATTATTTTAACATGGAGAGCTGCCGAGAATGATAATGAACTTAAATGATTATCAATCTAAATTCAAAAAAAATTACTTTAAAAAAAACCTCTTTGACATTCAGGACAGAAGTCAAAATACCTGAAAGGCCTTTGTGTAAATCACACAATGGTGGCATCTGTTCCTTCCTTCCCACGTGCTCTAATGGAAGTTATGAATTTTTCTGTGAGTTTTTTTTTTTGGAAAATCTAATAAATTTGAAGTTTTTTGAACTCAAAAAAGTGGTTTTTTCGAGGGTAGAAGCCTAAAAATTACCACAAAAGCTGGTCAAAAGTTAATTGATTCTCAATGTTTGATTACTTGTCTTGGTGATTATCTAAAAACATGCATTTTTTAAATAATAAATAATAATAAAAAAATTGCCAAAAATCCCTTCTTTTAAAAGAAAAGGATAAAAAAAATGTTTTTATTGAAGGAAATCGCCAGAAAAGTCATTTTTATAATGACAAATGATCAAAAAAATCATTTTTTTGTAGAGGAACGATCAAAAAATTGCAATTAATAAGGAAAATAATCAAAAAATATTGATTTTTTTAATGAAAAAAAAGTCACATTCAATAAAGAAAATTGTAAAACAATTAATTTTTATGCAGAAAAGTTATCTAAAAAATCAAATTTTTATATGAAAACGATGGTAAAATGCGTTTTTAATCTTTTAAAAGCTACATTTAAATTCATTTTTCGAAAAAATTAGCAAAAAAAAATGAGTTTTTGAGTAGTTTTCCCCCATTATTTTGCTCCCAAAACTGAAAAAATTTTATAAAATAAAATAAAATCTGACTTTTTAAAGAAATGCAAAACTTCAACCTCCCATTTTTGCATTTTATATTTCTTTTTAGTGAATTTTTTTAATATTCAAAAAAGACAAAAAATCGAATTAATAATTGAATAATTGGATTAAAAAAATTCAAGTGAAAAAATTCAAAATTTATAATTAAGGGTCGAAGACGCGCCTCACCCAGGTTTTAACCTTTAACAAGCCTCACGTTGGAATGTTGTCCTTTGCTATCCTCCATCCTTTCAAATCCTAAAATGATTTCTTGGAATTACTAATTACCAGAAAATCAACATCTCTGACAATTTTATGTCCCTAAAAAAAAAATAAATTAAATTAAATTTAAATGGAAGGCAATTTTCTGCAGAAAATGGGATACCGAATTCGATTTTTTTTTTTTTTTGAGGAATTTGCGTGTAAAACGAGGCGCATTTTCTACAGAAAAGTGGGAGTTTGCGTGCATTTTCTGCAGAAAATGGGCCCATTTTTGCGCAATTTTTAGAAGAATTTAACGGAAAATGGAGTGCATTTTCTGTAGGAATATTTGCGTGTATAAATGAGGAATTTTCCTACAGAAAATGGGAGGTTTGCGTGCGATTTTCTGCGTGTAAATGAGGTGGTTTTTGAGGAATTTTTGCATGGAAGTGAGGGAGTTGCGTGTAAATTTTTTTTTGGAGGAATTTCTGCATAAAAACGGATTGATTTCCTGTAAAAATACGGCGAATTTATATGCAATCTTTAGAGGAATTTATGCATGTAAATTCGATGCATTTCCTATGGAAATTTTCTAGTTTGCGTGCTATTTTTTAGATGGATTCATACATAAAAATGAGGCAATTTCCTGTAAAAAGCAGAGAATTTGCATGCAATTTTAGAAGAATTTATACATAAAAATGGCTTCGTTTCCTGTGAAAATGTCGACAGTTTATGCAATTTTTGGAGGAAACACACAGAAACAAACCTAATTTCCTTTAAAAACACGCAACTTTTTAACCAAAAAGTAGTGTTACGAAGGGTGTTTTTGGTTAAAAATCCCCGTTCACCTGTAGAAAATTAAGTAATTTACGTAACGCGTGACATAACAGATACGAAACACTTTCCCGTTTAAAAGATGAATTTTCGTAACATCATCTCCGTTACGTCATACATAAAGTACGGTAACTCGTCTATCAAGGGAGGCAGAAATCGGAAAATTTCCTAGTATATAACTCACGTTTCGTAACATTTTACTAACCACACCACATCAATCAATGTTGAAGTTACTCGGTTAAACGTCGCACGTAACCACCTCACCGATCGACTCAAAAAAAAGAAAGAAATTTTACGACTAGAAGAGGGGGGTTGACGAGCGAGTAGTGTATAAAAAACAGGAGGAATTATACCAGTTTGGTTACGCTAAAACCTCTCTTTAACTGATAAACAGGGGGGTTGAGCTAGCTGATTGTTTATCGTTCGTCCAGTCACACAAGCAACACACGAGAGGAAGTGGGCGAGTTTTGCTTCCTTAACGTCACACTACACGAGTCGACACACGAATATTATGTGGCAAGAGGGTGTTAGAAATGTATAACAGCGTTAACAACCCCCTGTACGCTGCTGTCGGCGATAACAACGTAGAAGAAGTGTGCAGATTGTTGGACAGGGGTGAAGATCCCAACGTCATCTCTTGGGAGAACAATGGAAGGCCCCTCATCATCGAAGCTGTTATAGGGGGTGATGCGGGTATAGTTAAGGTGCTGATAGATGCGGGAGTCGATATCAATGCACGTAACGTTCAAGGTGAGACTGCGTTACATCTAGTGTGCCAAGCGCGCTACTTTAACGTGGATATCATCCATTTATTACTGGATAGTGGGCAAGCCGACTTGAACGTTCAAGAGAATCTCAGCGGTAACACCCCTTTGCACATCTTCATCAAGACGTTCAGCAGTAACGGTTGTAACGACGTTACGGTTAGTATATTCAAGAGGATGGTAGACGGTACTAACATCAATATACACAACCACAGAGGCGAGACGTTGTTACACAGAATGGTGACAAGTATACGCGACTGTGGGGAACTTATGGAGTTGTTTCTGAACAGAGGTGTAGATCTGAACGTTGTTAACGAGAGAGGTGAAACACCTTTAGTCTGCGCCATCGATAAAGGTTACGACTCGACTGCCATCTTTCTAATTAAGTGTGGTACAGACACGAAAATATGTGATCGTTACGGACAGACGGCTTTGCATCACGCGGCACAACGTAACAGATCCGAGGTGGTGGCTCATTTGTTAGAAGTGGGTTGCCCGGTTAATGGGCAAGATGTTAATGGTGATACTGCCCTTTATCTTGCTGCAAGTAAGGGTAATACGGAAGTTGTGAAGCTTCTACTTGCGCATCCTTCGGTGGACGAGAAGATGCTCAATGTGCCAACCATCTTCAGTTTTGACGAGTGTACTTCTTTGTAATGCCTTTTTGTATGTTTAAAGGCCTTTAAGTTTAGAAGGGCATAAACTTGTTCTTTATAACTTAGATCTTAGGGATTTAACTGCTTTAAAATGAAACTTCTCCAGTTGCTTAAAAATAGCTTTTAGTATGCTTATATCGACTTTTTAAGCCCTTTTAACCACCAAGAAAATTTTATAAAGAAATAGATGAGTTTCTCTATGACAGGTTTCTCTACATCTGGAAGATCTTAGGGCTTTAACTGCCTTACAATGAAGGACTTAAACTTCTCTAATTGCTTATAAATAGAGTTTCTAAGCCCTTCTAAACTCACAAAAACCTGTGTAAAGAAACTAGACGAGTTTCTTATTAACAGGTTTCTGTGTGTTTAGAAAGACTTATGATTTCTATATGTTTACAAGGGTTAAAATTAGAGAAGTCTTTGTATATTTAGAAAGATTTAAGCTTCTTTAGAATTCTAACTATATATTTCTGGATGTTTGTTTCTTTTAAACACACAGAAAATTATCTAACCTCCTTAAAATAGGTGTAGAAGGGCTTAAACTTCTGTAGCTTCCTTGCAACTAATTTGGAAATGCATTTTAGAAGTATTTGAGGGGATTTTTAAAATATTTATAACACAAAGGAAGTGAGGTTCAACTTATACAGAAATTAACTTGTGTAAATGAAGTATCTATGTTACTTTATCTAGAAAATAATAAGGAAAATCTCAATCCGAGTGTAAGATCGGATAAAGTTTTGGTTATTAATCTAATCAGTATAATAATTTAAATGTCTTTTAATTTGTTGGTTAAGTCTTTAATGCCAAATTTTTTAGTGCATTCTTACAATAAAAAACTGTTGTCGTTATAACTAATGTATGAATATTTTTAACAATAATAAAATATTAATTTTTATAAATTTATGCTCTATTATTTCAGAAAATATTATCCTCAATTTAAAAATTATAACGTTGACACCGTTCGATCACAAAGATTCCTAAATGTGAAACACTGCACATAGGAATGTGTAGAAAGCTTGGAGATAAAAAATGTAACCACTATACAAGTCAAAAATCATTACTATTTGCCTAAATAGTACATTTCATATGTTAAAATCCTTATAAGCAATAAAGTTATGTCTAATTTTTTGATACTACAAAGCAGTGCAAGTTTTCAGCTGCAAAGCATTTAGATCTAAATGACCTGTTGATTCTCAAAGACATAGGACAAATCACGATAGGTGTCTATAGATTCTCAAACCAGTTAAGCCGACACAAAGCCGAGGATGCCACATAAAACACGAGAAGAAACGGGTCACATCTTTACTTAAATTCATGTAAGAGAAGTATCTATCAAATTCCCTTCTCTGGAGTAGAACTTTGTAAATGGCATGCTGTAGATGGGTGCAAAGATGTAGAATGATTTTATAAAACATATTTTAATCAAGTGATGGATAAATTTAAAGATATTCATTTAATTTATATTTATAAATATTTTAAACTTTATGTCTGAATGTTAAACCCAAACATTCAGTCAAATAAATGTCAAAATGGTTGAAAGTTCTTCATTAGATTAATCTATTGACAGTTCATGTTTTCATTTTTTCCCACTTGTATAAGAGTAAAAAAAAGTCATAAAAATGGGACTTAGATTTTCTTGGTCACAATTACACAATCCTAGGTAACAAATGCATTAGAATTCAATAAATGTTTGAGCTTGCAAATAGGCAAATGAAAATAATGCTTTGAGAAAATCTGCTGTGTAAGCAGCAGAGTTTGTTACATTTAAAGATTTTATTATAATTAATGTGTAAGTATTATTAATGCATTACATTGATGCTATGTTTACTTTCCATCTACATATTACAATATAATCCAAGTGTGTGCTTTGGAGCATATTGTAATGCTCTAAAAGCATTATAGATATTGTAGGCTATTGCAGAGAGATAAAATATTTAAAATATTAGAGATGTGGTGTAGCAGCTTTTCAAGTCTAAACAGGATTATAGTGTAAACCAAAATAATTAATTCAGAGCATAATTTTAATCAGGCTCAACTATTAATTGGGAAATAAAAATTAATTAAAAATAGGAATAAATATAATTAAAGGAATTAAAAATATGAATTAATTACAATAAGTAAATAGAGGTTGTTTAAGAGATGGTGAAAAAATTTACTTTTCCACCCTCTCTTAAACAATCCCTATTTATTTAGCGACTCCTTAGATAAAATGTTTGATCCCTCAGGTTGGGAATCCTAGATTTAAAGTATAAAGAATCTAGAAATTTATTTATATAATTGGCATAAGTACGGGCAGTTCCACATAGCTTGGCCAACAGCTGCTTGCTACCAAAACTGAGCTTGGGAATCCTTTGAGACAGCGTACACTGGACTTCTGAGGTACATTTTGGGTTAACTTTGTAAACATCTTCTATTTTTTGTATAATAACAGAGATTCATCCTTACTACCGCATGTCACAGCAGCTCAATTGAGATTTGCGAAACACGGTAACATGAAATATAAACCTCTAGTACATCCACCCGCAAAAATAGAGAAAACAGAAACAATGGAACATTCTTGGAATATATCTTAAAAATTTCCATTTGTAACAATTTATTACACATTTATTTTATCAAAACTTTATTTTAAAAAATGAATACAAATTTACATAAAGTTATAATTTTTAAAACAATAATGTTGACATCATGAGAGAGTGGTGCGTACAAAAAATTATTTTGCATCACTTTGAAAGAATTTCATTTTGCAAATACTAATTTATGCATTATAAAAATAAAGCTTTGGAATTTATTTTCAATTATTTACCTTCATCAAAGGCATTTAAAAATTTTTCATGAATTTATGCAATAAATCAGCTAGACAATTAACCATATATGATATTTATGCTCCAAAAAATGATTTGACAAATGAGTTTAACTCACAAAGACTTTTCAAACATGCTCGTTAACACTTATAGAAATTTTCTTTATTTAAATAATTTATCTATATATAATTATGATTTAACAATGTAAAGAGTAGACAAAAGTTTTTGATGAAGTCATTTGATGATCAGATTTATTTGCTTCAGAAACATTATGCAATACTTTATTTATGCATACTTATTAACTATATATGTAAGCGGAAGCATAAACAATGTGCAATTTATAGTCAACAAGAAAATTTTTATATTTTTAATGTTACAATTATTTAAAAGAATTTAGATTATTTTATATAAATAGATGAATAAACTGTTTCCAAAATTCTGAAAATTATTTTAATTAAATACACTTTGGATAAAATGCCATTAACATTTTCCCTTTTTAATCTTTCAACTAATAAAAGCAGTTCAAAGTGTGTATATGTCATAAAGTATTCCTAAATTTTAAGTCTGTTTTACTTTAATATGATTCTTATTTTCACTTGCTTTTATTATCGATTTTAAACAATAACCGTTTGTATTTGTTCTGCAGTTGTTGTCAAATACTAAAATGTTTTTGAAATTTGTCTTCCACTGTAAAATATTCTTTTAATTATGCTTTAAATTTATTTAATTTTGCTTCTTTATGTTGCCGGCAGAGCCAACGACGGGCTCGGAAAACTGTAACGGTAGCCACGCTTCCTGGCCGAATCTGTGTAATAAAATTTTATTTATAAAGTCTAGAAAACCAATCTATATAATATAATTTCAATGCATAAATGGGGGAAAATATAATAAACCAAACCGCATTATGTCAGAAGAATAGAAGAGGTCCTAGCCTCAGAGGATGCGATTACTCTCCATGGCCCTACCCAATAGCTCCTGTTGACCTAATTCTGTGATATACATTATATAATTCTGAAAAGAATTATAGATTTTATGTATTTATATGATGTTTGTCAATATGTATAAGAGGCGAAATGTACAAACCTTTAAAGATTTTTTTTATACTTCAATGATTTTTTATCAATAAAGAAAGTCAAATAAAGTTTCAGTTTTCTTTTTTAAATTCTTAAAACAGTTTGGTCATTTATTTACAATTACACAGAGCCAAATTTAGTGTCTTATAAATCACTTAAATGGTTCTCTTATGCAACAATATCATTATTATTAAAAATATACTTGTGTGCAAATTGGCAGTTATTGGCTTTCTCTAATTGTGAAAAGTCCATTGTTATCCTTTGTCACAATAATATCATGTAGCAAATTTATGATAAAAATTATTTTTTGCCTTAAACGTATATCTTAATGCTGAAAATAACTGTGTTCTATTAATTGTGCATGGTTTGCATTTATGTAGATAATATTCTGAACAAAAATTTTAATTTAAAACTGGATAAACTGCATATCAAACTGTTTAAAATGCTAAAATCTTACAGAATGCAAAGATATTTTGTAAAAAATGACAAGTTTAATTCAAAAGGATGGAATTTGCTTCACAAATATTCTTTTAAACAAATCTATAATAATTTTGTTTGCATGGTGAGATGTGACTGCTAAGTTATAAAGCATTTATGCAATTAAAATTTGTCACTTTGAATGAAATATTTAGTTAATTTTTGGATATTTCAATGCTAAATTATTAAACCTATCCAAATGTGCATTTTCATAACTAATCATTCAAATATTTGATTACGAGTAAAATATGAGTATGATTTACAAAATGTACCGTCTTATATTCAGTTCCGTATACTAAAACTTTATGTGATTTTGGGAGTCTTCTTTGTAAACATCCAAAATTCTTTCATCACAGTTTTTCTATATCACAGTTTTAGTTTTCTAAAAAGAGAAATACCTTTTTTATATTGCTAAAACTTTAACTTTTTATTAGTTAAAAATACTTACATTATTTATTATCTATACCGATCCGCATTGATTTTCGGATCGAGACGTGTCGGGAATACTGTCGTCCTCTTCTCGAATTCTTTTCAGGAATTCCCCAAAGTAGTCTTTTTTGGGCAGGATAGCGACTATAATCCAACCTAGTACCGCTCCGGTACATCGAGCGGTGTTCATGTTTCTCCAGTAGACAACTTCGTCGACCATTTCCTAAAATTAGTTTATTTTATTTTAACATTTTGTTTTATAAGTAGCAGTGCAAATCAAGACCATTTTTCATAAAAATCATTTTAATGTATTTTTTACACAAAATTTATCAAAATGCAATTTTATCTAATAATCTTGATTTACTTTGTTGAAAATATTATCAATTTTAATAAATATGATATACATTTTACAACTTTAAATGATATTTTTACCTTGATATTGTTCCATTAACACATTCTATAAAAGTCAATCCTGTGCAATACGCCATAAAACTAAGTATCAATATTAATAAAAACAGCCAGGATGACAATTACATTTTTTAAAAATTCACAAAAGTAATTAAATAAACATAAAATATTTATTTTTTGGCCACATCACACCTCAGGAATAAACAGTCATATGGAAGTTATCTTTTTAGGCAGACATATTGAGGTGGACTCTATAGAAAAAGATCAACTCTGCTATATTCTCAAGGTATAATAAGGATAAAAAAAATGAAGACCCTGTGTTTCTTCCAATTACTTCTGTAAATTTTTTAAAATAGAAGGTATCAAACTTATACATATTAAATTGTCAAGTTGGATAAATCTTTAAAATAGCTTTTCAATAATGAAATTCAAAAAATATTACTTGTTGTCATGATTGTTAACTTGTCCCTTGATTTCAATCACCTGCTAACAATCTTTTTTTTTTTTTTTGTACTCTGTCTCAGCAATATGATTTTTACTGTTAAAGATAAGAAATAATGTATTTCAAATTAAATTTCCTCATTTAAAAATTATTTTGATATTGTAAAGTTATATAAACTGAAGAATACAGAAGAAATTTGAAGGGTTTCAAATAAGAGCTATTGATTAAATCAAGTTTTGAGCATACTTTTCCTTATTATAACTAAATTTGAATGATGAATCTAAATTTAGGAGTAGAAAAATAAAAAAGGATTATGCATCTGTCATATTAGACAAGTTTTGGCTAACGTAGCAATTGCTTTTTTGCCATTTCTTTATTATTGCAATTCTTTTCCTTCAAGATCATATTTTTTAATCCATTGTTTTGTATGTACAGTACAGTACATATAAATTATTATCTAAATAACCAGAAAAAGCAGTTTTTGAGACTATGAAATAAAATTTAGAAAAAACACTGGAACATTTTCTAACCAGTTACTTTGTAGAATATTATAAACAAATTATATACTCTTCAGATACTAAAGATTGGTCTGCACTTTCTGTTAAAAATATTAAAATATTGAATCATTAATACAGCAATTATATATTTTATATGTGATATAACATAATGGCTACAGATGGCTGAGTGGTTAAAGTGGCTGTAGAGTACTCTGGAACAAATCAGATAGATCAAAATACACCAGAAGTGTCTCATTTATGTTGGGCCCCTCATCATTCAGCCACTCTCACTGTGGACCTGGTCAAACCCGTAAAGGATAGGATTAAAAGGCCTCTTAGTATTTACAGGGTAAAAAAAATAAAAAAATATATATATAAATGTTAAATTGATAACATAAAGATCATTGCTGCAGGTTTAGTATTTCTCTAGCATATGAAATTAAAAAAAGTAATAATTTCTATAAAGATTTACTTGATGACTCATGGATATCCACAAAGACGAATTCTTTTCGTAAAGAGAAATTTTGTTATCGATGCCAATTACGCTAAGAGATAATATTAAAGTCACAGGATATATAATAACGATGACAAGCCCATTTTGACAGACGAATGATTTTTTTATCGTATTCCACCGTAGATGAAACAGATCGTATCTGAAATATAAAATAAATATTACAAAATAATGTTTTGATAATAAATAAAATGCAGATGTTTATCTGAGAAATAAATTATCATATTTATTGTTTATGGCTATCTTTGTTAAATTATAAATGTATCAAAATTATCCAAGAAAAATTGATTATTTAGGAAGAAAATTAACAAGTGAAAGGTTTTTGCAATAAAAAATAAGGAAACAGATGATGTATAAGTTCTAAGTATGATTGTTTAGTATTGCAAAAGAAAATGAGAAATATCTTAAGTGTTTACTTTATGCTAATGTCATATGTGAAAATTATTTTTATTTGTTTCTTTTAGATAATAAAGTAATAATTTATATTATATTTCATTCCAGTCAGTCTGAGAACTACTATGATAAAAATAGGACATTTAAGTTTTCATCTCGTATTGGTAATTGCAACTCCAATTCAATTACTGTGTCTGAAAAGTTACTGTGCATCGAGAATTTTGTAATAAAATTAAAATGGTATGCATGACATTGCATGTGGGATTCATAAGTTGTATGTCCATATTTCCACTTTGCAGTAGATGGTGCAACACTTGCTCACGGATATTCTGGTTTTTGGATGACTTCTTTGCCAATCGCATAAACTCCCATAAATTCCTGCCTGCTAGGCCTCTGGACCTCACTATCCAGAAATGTTTCCCAAAGGCCCCAAAAGACCTTTGGAAAATTTTTCTGCATTTGCAATAGGAGAAAATGCAATATTGTATATAAAAATTCACGTTTATTAAAACTTTACTTAATTAAACCTTTTCCACTGCACAGTGACTTTTTGGACACCTCCACCTTGTCAGATATCAAAATGCTTTTTTTTTACATTTTTATTTTTAAAAAAATGTATATATAATGCTATCTTCCAACTATCCATGCTATCCTTAGAAATAGTTATTTACTATGAATGTTATTTATGCTTTGTCCAGTGAAATTATGTTTTTGTTAAATAATTTACAATTACATTTCAAATACAATCATAAAATAATACTTACCTATCAAAAGCAAATATTGTAGAAATTACCAAAAGTGAAAAAAATAAAGATTGAAAAGGTAATATCCATCTTTTACAATAATTAAGATAACTGTGAATGTCTTTTTCCGGAGGATCCGACTGATATGGAATGACACACTGCCACAGTCCTATTCCGGCCAGCAGACCGCAGCAGAAAGTTCCGACAATACAAAAATATTTCTGATTTTTTATGGCCACGTCTAATGCTAATTGTGAGGGAGGAGAGTATGATTTAATTTTATTTGAGTCTTCGTTTTCTTCCGACTGATCTACTGATATAAATTTATCTGAAAAGAAAAAATATGCAATTGGAAAACATTAAAACAGTTAACCAACAAATTATAAAATGAAAATAATTTTAAATTTACATTCACAAAATAAAGATAATTGTAAATTGATGTTTCTTGAAGTGCACAATAGTGACAGCTGGATAATGGGGTGGATAAGACATTGACCTACCACTCTGTAGGACCAGAATTTAAGTCCAGGTTGATAGTTCAGAATTTTTCAAGGATGATATAATCTAAGATATGTCAAACCCATCTTTCATCACCCAACTACCTTGTCATAGGTCTAGCCAAACTTATAATGTTTCCATTATCAACATATTATATTATTAACAACAAAAATATATTTCAACAAAATTAATTGTTGCAATTCAAGATTCTATTTACAATAATCTGACAAGCTGCTGTTGCTAATGGATTAATAAAGATTTAGTCTGAACAGAGATGTTTAGTTTTGTAAATATAAACAACAACAGTGAAATGGAGATTTATTGATAAAAGTATTACTGTATAATCTGAAACATAGACTGGTTGCTCGATACAAGGTATTGGAGAGATGTAAATAACATGGCTGATCTCAATTTTGCCCTTTATACACAAATTTTACTTATAGTAAGATCAGCTTGTGGGAGTGAGGTGTAGTGAATGTTATCAATATGAAATATGAAGAATGATGACAATAGTCTATAATAGATACAAATGAAGACACTTCAAGCCTGATAAAGTCATGAAATTTGTGTGCTCGTGCAACGTCAAGGTAGTCGATGGGTGAAGGAATTTCCACCGATGCTATCCGAGATTGTGCATCGACTATAATATTGTCCGTACCTTTGATATAACATCTGTCGTAAATTGTGAGATGAAATCGAATTGTCGTTTTTCTTATAAATTGCATGAAATATATTTAGAAAACTGGATGATAGATAAGTTGGTAAAATTGCAGTTCTGAATAAACCTAGATGGTCAAAAAAGCCAAAGGAACCATATGTCTATATGTAACATTTGAAGAGATATTTGCCTCTAAAGTTTTTGTAACAGGTAGCTAAACACACAGTAGGCTTAATGGAGCATGCAACTTGATTGGTAGTAGTCAGTGCAATAATGTTTCTCATATTTTACGAGCTTTTAGCTATCTTTAGTAAAGCAGAAAATGGTCAATTTTTAGCATTATTTTGAGAAATAGTTCCAGATTTTCCTCATTTTTGAGGGGCTTCAAAATTTCAGATGAACTTATTTCGGGGGGACTACATATGCAAAGAGTTGGCACACAAAGACCATTGATTCCTTTGACTTTTTTATTTGTACAGGCAAGGTCTATAGCTGTGATAAGATTCTGGGTGCCTTATTCAGAGTTACATTTGTAATGATAAATAATCTGTTATATATAATGTAAGGAAAATAATTTTTAATTGCTATGCATTATACAAACCTTCCTGTATTATTTTTTGCAGGATAAAAAGAATGAATAAATTATATAAATGAATTAAAATAGCATGAACAGATAATAATGAAATCTTTATATCAAAGTATTTTATATTTAGACTAACTTTTATGTTCCACAAAAAGTTTTCCAACTGACTGACTCTGTCTATGTTGTGGATATTTTCCACTTAAACCTATGGATGAACTTCTTCTATCTTTCTGATTTTCTGTTGATATATTAGTCTGTTGTTCTCTGTTTTCAGGATTTTCTGCTAAATTCTCATTAGCTACTTCCTGAGATGGACCATGTTTACTACGGCTTTTTTTAGTTCTTTTCGGCTTAACAGGCAATTGTCTATTTTGATCGTCGTTTGATATTTCCTCAATACTTTTAACTTCAGAATCACCATCTTTATCCAAATCGTGAAGTCTTCCACTTATAGAAAATATATTTTGCTGAATTTCTTTATCTTCTTCTTCTTCATTTTCTAAATTCCTTCGGTTACCTTCTACAATTTTGATTTTTTGTGATTTCTTGCGTGATTTTTTTGACTTGATATTCGGAAGTGGTTCCGATTTTACGATTTTTGGCAGCGGTGATAAATTCCTCGTTAATTTTCTTTCATTCATTTTAAAATTAAATGTAATTAGATCAAATCTAAACAATAATCCATTCGCAAGCACGTGTGTAAACAAACTAACATCACAACTACGCCCTCTAAGTTATTGTCAGAATGTTAAAAATGAAAGAATTTGACTCGCCAAAAATTTAGCCCAAATTTAAAACTTTTTAAAGCATTTAACTTATAAATACGGTATTAAAAATATTTATGCTTTCGAAATTTTCCATTTTTTAGAATTTTGTGATTTTCTAAAAGTTAAGAAAATGAAATACACAATAAGATATACTGTAAATGTATATAAAATTAAAAGCGTGTTGCCTAGTTAAGATACAGAAATGTCTTAACTACGTTACTATCAACAGAAAAAGTTTTCAAATCGATTTATAAGAGAAATGATAAAATATTATTATTAGTTACAGCAAAAAATGACAAATAAAGAAAATGAGATAAATTGTATTTAAAATAGAAGAACAGATGAGACATCGCTCAAAACTTTTAAGAGTATGCGACTCAGACGTATCGTGCCGTATTCCCGACCACCAGTCGCACCATTTTGAATCTTATAATATAATAAAAATGAAAAGATCGATCAAAATTTAATGGTGCCTTGTCAAAAAGTAATTTATTTTTTTCAATTTTGGCTCTCTCACCTCGTGGACAGTACGAGGGCCTTTTTTTTCATACCCGTCGTCGATTCGGTCAAATCCATCATGATAGTAAAGGACTGGGCACAACGTATCTGGACAATTGCTTAAACAAAATTCTTGGGTGCTCTTCGGGATTCGATCTCGGATCTCTCACAGAAGTAAGTTGCATTTAGCTTCCGCGATAAAGTAATATTTTAAGATGCGATTTAAATATAAAAGTGCCATTTTTAAAAAAAAATCAGAAATAACAATTTTAACTATAAATTTTCTCGAAAAATTATAATTTTTTTGTTAGTAATTTAATTTTTTGAAATTAAATATAAAATTATTGTAGATGGCGTTATTAAATTTCAAATATTGCAACTTACTAAAATATGGCGGATTCATGTCAACATTGAGGTTGCTATAAGGAGTTTTAAAAGAGAGAATTCGTTTATTTAAACAGTGATTTTAAATTATAGAATTAATTAATTTAAAAAGAAAATGGCAGGAAGAAGACGTGGAGGAGCGGCTAAACGTGGGATTCAAACTAATCCCATGTCTCAAGTAAGAACATTGAGGCTGGAGTTTGTGATTTATTATTAAATATTTAATTATAATTACCTGTCCGTTCATATTAAATACTCTAGTGCAGTTATAATTCGTCATTCTCTAAATTTTTGACATGTTAAGTTGAGATTTTCGATACGTAAATACTTGTTTATTCATCTTTTTTTAGAGATTTATGCGTTTAAAATACACAAAAATCGTAAACGGTGCTTATTATGATTACTCGAAACGATTTAAACTGAATAAACGAAAATGAAATAAATTAAAGGCATGAATAACGTCGGCGTAAATATATCGGCGAACGACGCCATCTTGTTTTTGACACGCCTGTTTTTTTTTGTTTTATGACAGATTAGGCATAATTAATGTTGTTTAAAGCCGAGGGAATAAATATAAATGAAAAGATAATTAATTTCTTATACTGTATTTAATCTTTATTTGGAAAGAAATTTTAATTCAAAAATCATAAATTGGGTTTGAGTTTCAATTTAGTACCATTAACGGTAAGATTGTGTATTAATTGTCATTAATGGTCGAGGTGAGCCAAAGTGAGTCTCGACTGATGCTTTGCGTGTAGACGTGTGCTTCGGTGCTTGCTACTGTACATACCTTAGTGCTCGCCCTTAAAACTATAGGGTAAATCTAACCAAACTATATAATGTTCAGTACTTTGCATACGGTCGAGTGGCTACTCGGAACAGGCATGGTTGCTTGGGCCAAATAGTCTTGGCAGAGTGCACAGCGGTCACGTCTTGGAAGTAGGCCAATTTCGTGGAACTATATTTCGCCGAGGGTTGCGTGCAGAGGAAAGGTTTCTTTGACTTTTTTGCTCCTATGAGTGTGTTCTATGGCTTTGTTAAGGTACAGATGGTCATTTGCATCTGCAATTGTGCAATATTAATTGGCTAAAGTATTAGTACTTGATATACAAATTAATTTACACAAATTCCAGTTTAATAAATGTTGATAATTAAATGTCAGATGTTTTTCCGTTTTTGTCTCTTTCTGCTCTGTGGGCACTAAGAGGGCCTTTTAAATTCTTCCCAATGTGGGTAAGTTGAGGCTTGTGACAAAGGTGAGTGCTGAGAGAGGGTCTGACATACACCGGATAGACGGACAATGAAAAATTCCAACAGTTGCTTGTTCAGATTTGATGCCCGGTCTCCCAATGGGGTCGTCGAGAAGAGGGAATTTTTCTCTGGCCCAGAGAATATTTAGGGACCCATTCTGGTTCCTACCACCTATAAATTAATGCTATTTTTTACTAATAGAATAATAAAATCTTTAAGACTTCTTTTTATTAATAAAGGAATAGTCTGCCTTTCCTTTGTTCAAAAAAGAAAAATGGCAAAAGGGGCCCACTCTATTTCTGGGCCCTGTACGAAGTCTCGACAGCCCCGTCCTCCAGAGTGATAGGCTGGCTGACCTAGTTATGCTGGGTCAGCCAGCTATTACTGATGCTTAAAGTGACAAATGTTAAGAGATTTGAAAAGACAATGATGATTATAAAATATTGAAAAATTGTATTGAAGGTTATGAGGATTACTTGTTATCTTAAATTTTTCCAAGAATGCATACTAGATGAAGTATACCTGATGTTGATTTTGTATAATAGGATATAGGAAATTAAGTCAACAAATTTTACATTATAATTGCATTAGCATTTCATTTAGGAATATGCAACATTAGTAAAGAGGTAATTGTGTAGGACTTGTTTTAGAGAATTTTACTCATATCAAGTGTATCATTCTGTTAAATATCTTATTCATTTTAAATATATATACTTTACTCAAACTAGATAAGTGCTATTGGAGCTAGTTAATGTAATATAGCAGAGGTGGCCAAACCTAGTCATGATATGAGCCATATACAAATCAGAAATATGTGAGACCTGAATCATATTGGAATGGTATTTCATGTATGACCTATATACTGTATGTAATATATACTATATACAGTACTGTATATATTACAATATATACTATATACAGTACTGTATATATTACATACAGTATATATTATGGGGTAAGGATCTGATATACAAGAGTTGCAATAAGAATCTAGAAGAGCTGCAGTCTGGCCACCATGGATACATGATCTTTCAAAATGATAAATTCTAACAAGATAATATTGTAATTTTATGATTATTACTGTGTACAGAAACAATTGATTAAGTTCTTTACATAAATAATTATTTGTTTGGGTTTTATGTGTTATTTCTGTAGCCAGATATTGGTTCTTTTGTGATTAATTGTAATACTGAAATAACCTACAATTGCCTTAAATATCGGGCTATAATCTGGCTAATTATTCAATCATTTAGATTGATACCAATTACTTTCAAATTGATACAAATAATTTGTATCAAGCATCAATTAATTGTAATGTTTAGTACTTGATTTAGCACACAAAAATTGCTTTGTTGTTAGTCTTTTGCCTACTATTGTTCTAAATTTAAAAGTAATTTTTATGGTTTATTATGTTTATATGAATCAGCTATTTTAGTGTTGTAAATTGATGTTTGTAAAAATAAATATGCTTTTAAAATCTAAAGAAATGCTATAAAATTTAGAATCATTTGTATGATTTTTGTTAGTATGAAAAAAATTATTTAAGGAAATTACACCATTAAAAATCTGATTTAAAATATCACCATTTCTGTATTTCTAACAGAAAAAAACTCATTAAACTGATGAAATGCTTTACAAGAAACTGTTTGTCTTCTAATTTTAAGAAAAGGCCCTCTTAATTTTGTTTTTTTGGTATGTAGGAATCAGACAAAAGCACTGCCTGTACCAGACTACATTGTGCTTCTACTACATAGCTAAATACAAGTACATGAAAGTATAGGTAATAAGTAGTAGGTTCTTTGATGGCATAGTCTCCATTAATTAACCCCAGATTCATCATATGGGATCAAATTCTATCTTAGCTCCTTTGTAAGATAGTGACACTGTTTAAATTGACCCTAGCATGCAACGGCATGCAAAAAAGCCTTTCATAGTTTCCCTGCCCATTTTTTCACATTATCCAGCTTCTTCCTCTTTGAGTGTTGGCTTTAACTGAACAAAAATTGTTTTGTACTAATTTTGAGATGCTCCATGACTTTGTAATTTAAACTGCACCACTCCTTTCATCGGAGCTGAGATAAGATTGTGAAGAGACGGGTTGGAGTACATGCCAAATATACCATTGAATAGCACACTATACTCTAGCATGCTACAGTGTATAGTGTAATTATCATTTTAAAAAATATATAAAACTGGATGTTAAATTCTATTTTATACTAGGAATTTTAAATGTAAATATATATTTGGTTCTACATTAAATTTATTTACATTTTCAGATAATAATTTTCTGCAAAGAATAATTTCTATTTGATTTAAGAATGGACTGATTTTTCTTATTGATAATACTTTTCAATTACCTACAGTTTTGAACTGTTTACGTAAATCATAAGCTGTTATTTATACTGTTTGCAAAGTATGCATGGACTGAATAATCAAATATATAAATTGTTGTCAAAATTAATTGAATACCATATAAAGTGATTATATTCTTTAATTTTCCAAACATTTTGACTCTCCAACCATTTTCACTGCCAATTATTGTGGAATATCATCTGTTAGTGTGTGTTAACATCTGTTCATACTTACTGATCATAAGTAAAATCTCCACTAATTTGAAGAATTATTAATAGTTACTGATTATTGTTTTATGATTTAGTGGTGTTTTATGATCTTCATTGTGGTGATAGATGATATTCTAGAATAATTGTCCAGGCAGACTGCCATTTAAAGATGTATATTTCTATTTTCAAACAAACTGCAGGATTATTAATACACTGTAACAAGACTAATATATTGATTAGATATGCCTACAGATAGGCAGTTAGGCCACTATCTAATCATTAAGTTTGCCTTGTTGCAGTCTATTAATTAAATAATGCAGCAGTTTGTTTGGCATTACTAATTAATTGGGTTGATATAATTTATAATTTTTAAACAAATAATTTCTCACAATTTTTTATTTTTATTTAGCTTGGTTTAATGGATTTACCTGACCTTTCTGATATTTCAAATATCGGAATTGATGATGAAGGTAGTGATGGAAGTGAAGGTGAAGAAGGTTTAGAAGATGAATTAATGGCACTGTTATCAGGGAAATCTCAACCAAGAGTACCTAAAAGGAAAAAACCACCCCGTAAGAATTTTTTTTTATCATTGATAAAACTTTTTTAAATATATAATCATAAATATAATTATTGTTATAAATTAATAAACATTGATACTTTAATAGCTGCGGCGCTGGTAGACATTGACAAAATAGCTGCCGAATGCATGAAGGACATTGACAGTGTGGACGAAGATGATGAAAATGCCTCGGGAGACGACGAATTAATGGTTATAATTTAATTATCATCATGAAAATATGAGGATTGTAACAAATGTAAAGTTTAAATTTAAAAATTTCAGGCGGAACTCGAAGCAATTTTACCGGACTCTGCTGCTCCAGAAAAAGAAAGTTTACCTCCATCCCCACCAAAATCATCTCCAAATTCTGTACTTGCTACTTTGGATGAAAGACTAAATCAATATAAATTAGCTGAAAGTGCTGCTAAATCTTTAGGGGATAATTTAAAGGCAAAAAGATATGGAAGAGGAATAAAGGTTTGTCTTAATTGTGTTAATGATACAAGTAAAATTTTATTTATTACTTCTATAAGAAATGCAAAATAACAAGATTATTTAAAAATGATGATGGAATATTTGAAATATTCTAGATGATAAAACACAATTTAATATAATTTACTATGACAATAACAGCATTTCAAATTCTAATAATGTTCTTATATAGATTTTTTTCTGTATTGGTAAAATATTTTATGTATAATATTAATAGTTAGTTATAACACAAATAAATCTTCAATAACAGATTCTATAACATTAATATTTTTTACTGGCTGGAAAAAATTAGTAAAACTAGCAAGAATTATTGGGTTGTTCGGAAACTAAGTTCGTTTTTTTTACCACTAGACTGATTAGTGGTATTTTTCTCGCCATTTTCGTTCTAAACCGTATTATCATTATATATTTTGACAGCTAGCATTTTATGGCTTATTTGTAAAAAATTTTGTTTGATTTCGTGCAATTGTTTATTTTTTGTGTCCCATCAAATATGGACGATCGAAAGCAGCATATTCGGCATATTTTGCTTTTTTATTACCAAAAAAAATAAAAATGCCGTTCAAGCAAAAAAAAAATTGTGTGACGTGTGGTGGAGATGTGTTGACAGAACGACAGTGCCAAAACTGGTTTACAAAATTTCGTTCTTGCAATTTCAGTATTGAAGATGCACCACGTTATGGATGGTCAATTGAAGCCAATGAAAACAAAATAAAAGTACCAACTGAAGCAAACTGCGGAATAACAACACATGAAATCACTAAGAGATTAAATTTGTCAAATTGATCGTCAGAAACTGTTATAATTTAGATGGGACGTGCTATCACACCAACCGTATTCGCCAGATCGAGCGCACTCAGATTATTACTTGTTCCAGTCTGTACAATTTTTTTTAACTGTAAGACATTTACTTGAAATGACAATGTCAAAAATCACTTGGATTAGTTTTTTGTAAGCAACGATCAAAACTTTTATGAATGTGAAATCGTGCTACTGACAGAAACGATGGTAACAGGTATTTGATCAAAATGGTCAACATATAATTCAATAAAATATTTATTTATCATAAGAATATTGTGTTTTTTTCCATGGAAAAAAAATGAACTTACTTTCCAAACAACACAATATATATTTACTAACATAAAACTTACTGTACCAAATATATTAAATAGATATTTCTTTAGTAAAATTTTATACAAGATTAAAATCATATGACTAATAATTAAATAAAATTTTGCATGGGGGAAATTATTCTCTCACTTTTTCAAAAGAAATACCTCATATGAATACAAGTAAAAATTTTAAAATTACACTAAAACTGCATTATTTCGATATAAGATAATTTGAAGTATCACACAATTTGAAGTCAAGTCTATTCACCCAGCCAAGAGAATAGGAATTTGCATATATTTGTGCATATATATAGTGTGTATTCAAAATACTCGTTCAATGAAATTCAAAATTATTGTCTGGTCTGGTGACCCACAAAAATATTGTTTAATTTGAAATCTTCCATCCTATTATGTGTTTATAAGAAAGCTTCCATGCCCAAATGGCAGTTTCAGTTTCAATTTTACATTGTCAGACAACTGTTCTAGGTTATTCAGACATTGTACACATTGCCAATAAAGAGAGAATTTTTATTTTTATGGAAGAAATTGTTTGGTATTTATTTTGAACATTTTTTGCAAAAATCTATTGTTTCAATAATTTCAAAGTCCATTAAGTATTAGTGTGTATTCATGATAGAATGTGTATTTACAGCTTTAGCTGTTAATAGAGCTTGTTTTCATCAGATCACATGATTTTCCTAATCTGGAACTCAAGACAAAATTTACAGTAATTCTTATTGAAGTACAAGCTTCTGGTTTATATGTTATTTTCGTGTCTTGCTTTGAATGTAATTTGGTTATGTTTTCATTACCAAATTACATGCCAAATGTACATGCCAATGATGGTTTTTTTGAAATAGCTTAAATTACTAACTTGTAATATTAATGTATTTGTAAACAATGGATAAAATTATATAAGATAATGATATAATTTTATTTGAGAATTACAAAAAAACTTTGATTCAAAGAAAGGTTTGGATAATTTGATGATGATTATTTTTTTGGTCCCTTGAATTTCAAAATAATGAGGTTTTGTCGTGTTTTGAATAATTAATTTGCTGTAAATTAAGCTCCTTATAATACATTGGTTAGTGTTATTTTTTTTATTTTAATTAAATACAGTTTATGAGAACTTTAGTGTGTTCTAAAGTTATAAATAATCTCCACTCAATCTTATAGTTCATTCAAGCTTTTGAATAATTTTTTTATGTACAGATAAGGCTATGATATTAGCCAATATTTTTCTTCTAGCATTCCAAGCATTGATTGTCTTTTTAAATTCTTTGGAAGCTTCTGTTTAACTGACATGAATGCACAATANAGTAAAATTAGGGTATTAAAATTAATAATTATAATATTTAATTAAATAATTTAGATTAAACTGGAAGAAAAGAATCAGCTCAAAGTGGGACTCAAACCCATAACTTTTGCTAAATTATTTAATTAAATATTATAATTATTAATTTTAATATGAGATGGCACCTAACATCTTCCTCTAGTGCCAAATTCATTTATTATTTATAATTATTTATTCCAAATTATAGCCCAATGATTTACAACAGTGGTTGTGTGTTGTTGCATTGTATCGGGTTAATAGGGTTGTTTATTTATGCACAGTAAGATGCCAGCATTCATGAGTTTGAAGAGCTGAATATTCTAGTTGAGAGAAGAATAGTGCTAATTTTTATGTAAATGAATTTGAAATAATTTATATGAATAGCTAGACAACAATTTTCAATCATTTTTAACTGTTGGTATAAAGATTAATTTTGTAAAAGTCTTCCTCAGATCCTTGGCTCTGATATATATGGAAAACAAAATATAAGTTTGATATAACATTGATTTAAAATTGTTTGATTTTGTTAAATATAGTGAATAGTTTTTAAAATTTGACTAAAATAATTGATTAACATTTTGACATGCATATCTTAGACTTTGGAAGGTTTAATTAAATCTGCAAAAGCTGGCCGTGCTGTAAATGAAGAAGAAATTCCTCCACAAGTAGCCATACCTAAGAAAAAAGAACCAGGTAAAAGTGATGATATTTTTGTTTTAGTAATATAGTTATTCAGCATATGGTAGTAAAGTTAACAATAGTTTTTTTTATTTGTACAAAATGATACAAAATTATAACTTGAAGGGTTAGACACAGTGGTCAGGAAGTTATGAATTACTGTTACATGTATGTAAATGCATTTTATGCAAACAAATTGTCATATAGTGACAATTAGGATTGTCCAATAATGTGACAATTGCCCATGTCATATTATCCTAGTGTCCTATAAAATGTATGCATGTGATAAACACAGATGGTGGATCCTTGTAGTTTTTATAAGGTATAAAGTATTGTGTTCTATGGTCTTTGCCCATCTTGAATTTGCAGTTGAACCATTCCTTGGATTTTGAGGCAAAAACTTCTTGATTATATTTTTCAACATCCACAAGATAATCAAATTTTTTCCATCCAAAAAGTGTGTCATGGACTGAAAAAGGTAGTAGTCTGATGGTGCTAAGTCTGGGCTTTATGTTGGATGTGACATCAACTCCATTTCATCCAATTTTTGAATTTTTCTTTTGCTGAACATGCAACATGTAATTCTTTCTAGACTGCATATTGTAATCTCAAAACACTTACTAAAACACCTTTTCTTGCAGCCGACGCTTTATTATAACGACTTTCAAACGTTTTCGATCTTATTAAAAGACCTTTCTCAAGAAAATAAAATTAACAAAGTAACAAAATAAACGACATAATCGTAAATCGAACGCTTAGTACGAATAACTGTTTTTTAAATCTAAAATTTTAAAGATTTAAAAAACAGTTATTCGTACTAAGTGTTCGATTTACGATTATGTCGTTTATTTTGTTACTTAGTTAATTTTATTTTCTTGAGAAAGGTCTTTTAATAAGATCGAAAACGTTTGAAAGTCGTTATAATAAAGCGTCGGCTGCAAGAAAAGGTGTTTTAGTAAGTGTTTTGACATGCAACATGTGGAAGAGCATTACCCTGTTAAAGACGTGTCCATTTTTTAATTAACTAAAGCTGCATGCAATTGCTCTGGTTAGGCACATTAAAGTTCTGCATTAACACCATGACCATCAGAAACCTCTTAGTGGACTGGACCTTCGAAATTCCATCATTTGGAGTATTTCCTTTTTGGACTGGTACTGGTAGTTGTTCAGGATCTAACTATTGATTTTGCATGTCAGAATTACGAAATTATATCCATTTTTCATCACATATGACAATCCATCTATTGTTAAGTATTAGGATTTCTTAGAAATTGATGATGCACTTTGACACAGTGCCGAACTTGTGCAGACATCAAATTATGAGGTATAACATGGCTGCTTCTGTTAAACTTTCCGAGCTTATACAAATAATTAACATTGGATTGTGATATTCTCAGTTCATTACATAATTTAAGTGCTTCTGTTTGGATTTGAAACAGCAACTTGGTTTAAAGCTTCAGAATACATTGTTGTGGGTCTTTCAGGCCAAGAATATTCTTCAAGGCTTAGCATTACTGCTTTGAAATATTTATATTATTGGGTTGTTTGGAAAGTAATTTCGTTTTTTTTTTCTGTGG